TTGCACCACTGCACTCCAGCCTGGGTGACAGAGCGAGATTCCGTCTCAAAAAAAAAAAAAAAAGTCTTTGGTGCCATCTTAAATTGCAAAATTACCTCCAAAAGCACAAAAATACAAACATGCCCTGGAAAGAACTCCTGCCTGCAGCCCAGCTGAGCACAAAGGCAAGCCAAGCGTCCTGTCCTCAGCGGGCACCCAGGGGACTCACGTGCTCTGCTGCTATGCATGTGTCTGTGAATACTGAGTTTGGGGTTCAAACAGACTTAAGCAAGTCAGCAAATTCACACTTATGAAATCTGTGAGTGCCGAGGATCAAGTGCGTGTCCGTAAAACCGTCGTGGATGCCGAGGTTCTTGCCTTTGACCCAATGACGTCTACAGCCATCAACAAACAGCAAGGTTATGTGTGTGGCCAATTCCACCTGAAACCCACCAGCCAGGACCAGGCAGCCTCACCAAAGTTCAGGCTGGTTTTGCTGCCCAGGGAGCACTGGTCAGGTGATAATGGCAACCCACAGGGGTCCCAAAACGACTTCAGTGTTGAGAAGTTTCTGAGTTTCATAGTTTTTCCTAAGGGATGGGGTATCACAAAGTTCTCAAGGACTAAAATATGAAAGTGATTACAAGAGTGCTACTGCCTCTCAGCCGGCTTTCTCTTTCCTAGTATTAGAATGCAGCCTCTGTGACGCTGGCTTGGCACCTTCCTCTGTGTCATCAGATCCGAGAGCCAGTCTCATAGCCTCACGGGCAAACTGGCTCACGCAGACTTGGCCTCACGCTGGCTGCCCCCCTCACTCAGGCAGCCCCAGGTCCTGCGAGATGAGCCCTCCAAGCAGCCTCCTTGGTCCTCTGGACCCAGGTCACTGAACACCCCTCGGGCTTTGTGCTTTATCTTCCCACCCTGCTTCACCCTCTCCTGTCCATGCTTGCTCTGAGCAGGCCAACCAGGGTCTTCTCTTTGCCTGTTGGACGCTGGAGTATCAGCTCTGGGATTGGCCCAGGCAGGGACTGAGGGGGCCCTGGAAGGCATACTGCCAAGCCACATGGAGCCCCACTGCCCCACTCATACTCACTGGGTGCAGGGAGGCAGCTGGACTGACACGCTGTGTTCAGGGAGAAAAAGTTGCTAGACCGACAGTCAAGGAGCTGCTCTTGGCCAGGCGCGGTGGTTCACGCCTATAATCTCAGCACTGTGGGAGGCCAAAGCGGGCAGATCACAAGTTCAGGAGATCAAGACCAGCCTGGCCAACATGGTGATACCCTGTCTCTACTAAAAATACAAAAATTAGCAGGGCGTAGTGGCAGACGACTGTAATCCCAGCACTCTGTGAGGCCGAGGGGGGACGGATCATGAGGTCAGGAGATCAGGACCATCCTAGCCAGCATGGTGAAACCCCGTCTCTACAAAAATACAAAAATTAGCTAGCTAGGTATGGTGGTGGACGCCTGTAATCCCAGCACTTAGGGAAGATGAGGTGAACAGATCTTGGTCAGGGGATCGAGACCATCCTGGTCAACACTGTGAAACCCCATCTCTACTAAAAATGCAAAAATTAGCTGGGTATGGTGGTGGATGCCTGTAATCCCACCTATTCAGGAGGCTGACGCAGGAGAATCACTTGAAGCAGAGTGTCGGAGGTTGCAATGAGCAGAGATCGCACCACTGCACTTCAGCAGGGGCAACAGAGAGAGACTCTGTCTCAAAAGAAAAAAAAGGAACTGCTCTTGGAATCTGCAATTCTGTGGAATAAGCTGGCAGCTCGACGCCGTCATATAACCCTGGACTTTTGAGGCAGAATAGGTGGATATGATCACCACAGACAGTCCAGAGTCCAAGATGTAATTCATTCCCCTGTATACGCACACAAACATGTATACAATTCCAAACGTTCAACTAAAAATTATATTTCCTTTAGAAAAGCAGCTCCTCATGTTTAAGTTATAAACCAATGAAACCCGGACAGCCATGGGCCGACACAGCTGTCAGCACTACCCCCCCAGCAAACCCACAACCGGACTGGGGGTGGGGAAGGAGGGGCGTGGCCTCGGCCGAGCCTCACCTGTGTTGTCTTTGCTGAGCATGCTCCTCTGCATGTCCTCCACTTTGGCCATGAGCCTCTGGTACTGCTCCTCTGCCACCTGCAAGTCGCTGTTGGACGACGCCAGGCTGGCATTTTTGGCCTCCAGCATGTTCTGCAGGTCGGTCATGGCTCGCTCCAGGTCCCAGCACGACTGCTTCAAGGTGTCCACCTCTGAGCTGAGCGAGTCCTGCCGCTGCTGGCTGCTGTGGCTGCACTCCACCTGTGCCTGCAGCTTCGTGCTGAGGGCGGCCAGCTGGGCCTGCAGCTCAGCCTTCTCTTTAAGTGCCTGAAAAGATCCCGACAACCAACTTTCAGAAAACCAGTCACTTCTGTCCAGTGTATTCACAGGAACACACCAGCGAGTCAGTCAGGGGCCTGACAGGGGGCCCTGCACGAAGCCCCATGTTCCACACCTCCAGGCACTCTCCCAGCACAGCTGTCGCAGAAGAAGGCGACCTTGCAAACAGGCCCAGGACGCACACAAGAGCCTGCACTGGTTTTGGGCCAGCTGCACCTGTGCAGGGCTGCGCTCCAGCAGGGCTAGGAGGCACGCTTCTCCTGCGAGGATGCTGGAAACGTGCACATAGGTGCTCACACAGAATGCCAGACGTGTAGAGGGACCCCGAATTAAAAGCAGATTCAGAGCTGGGGGGAAATGGGCAGAAAACGCAGGCAGGGAAAGGCAGCTGCTTCTGAAGTGTAGCTCCAGGGGCTCCAACCAGGGCCACGGGACACAGTACAGTCCTGAGTGACTGCGGCAGTGCTCTGTGGCCCCAGGAGCAGCAGAGAGTTGCCACTGGAAATCGCCCCACCCACACGCCACCCACCCCACCCACGCTAAGACCTATGCGGGTGAGGATCCAGTTCACATGTCATCAGGACAACAAACACCCAGAGCAATCGAGGAACTCCACAAACTCAACAAGACCCCAGAGCAAGGGGCTAGCAACCACCACATGAAACAATCCACACAGACAAAGCACCAATCAGTGATCCCAGGAGGATGAGGGGACAGTGCAGCAAGAGCAAGACACCATTCGCAGAGCGGCTGCAGAAGGGAAACACATCTGATGGGAGGCTCACGCTCTAACACTGTAGAAGTGACGACTGTACAACCACAATGAGCCTCAAAACACCTGAAATCACCTCTTCCGTAGACACACCTTTAGATGTCACAAACCGGTTGGTTTGTGTCCAAGGACTGTTTGGTAAGAGAAAATGGTCTTAAACATGAGATGAGCATTAGTAAGGCAAGCTCCTGGTGCGGGAGTGGCTCCGGCCCTGCTCTGCGGCCTTGCTCACTGGAGAAAGCTCCTGCAGCTGTCACCTCAGGGTGACATTCTCACGCTCCATGCCAGAAGCACACAGCTGAATCCCACTGAACAGACTTACTCAACTGTCAACAGAAGAGAAATACCTAGCTCTTCACTATGGATAAAGTCCACATAACAAGATGACAACGGGGAGCTGAAAATAAGGCACAGAAAACGATGTTTCAGGTGCGTGCTAACCAACGCCAGGGTGCGGCTTCTTCTGATACAGCAAAACCAGTATCAGAAAAGCAGAAACCACTATAAAGAAAAGGCTTCCCTCTGCCAGAAAAAGGTGCACCCCTCAAGAGAACTGAACTCTTACAGATTGTGAGACACCTAACATCTAGGAAATATTCTGTTGGAGATGGAAGGAGAAACTGACCCAGGGACCATCAGATGGAAAACTCACACGTCTGGTAGATAGGGAAGGAGAAACGGACCCAGGCACGATCAGACGGAAACTGATACCTCTTTCTAAGGCTGACAGGCCAAGTAGACAAAGAACGTGAAGACGCAGAGAGCTCGGCCGCCACGGATGCTGCGTCGGCTGATTCCCAGCATCTCTGAAACTTCGCCCAACAGACAGGCCACACATGCTTTCCGAATTCGATGCATGCTACATCAATCCAAAGTCCATTACCTGACTCGCCTCCAGTGACAAGGCTTCCAGCTGTCCTTCCAGCCTCATTTTCTCTTTGAGCACCTGCAGCATCTCATCCTGCGTCTCTGCAGCAGAGCTCTCCAAAGACACGCTGGGGACAAATGCATGGGTCAGGCCCGTACGGCCCGTCCTTGTTTTCCCTCACACTCCTCCGTACACAGCGCTGCTACTCTCTCCCAAATTTTAATTAAGAGATTTAAGTAGCGAGCTAAGGCTCGCATGAATGCACGGATGAACGCTCCTGCACCTCACACAGTGGGAGCACTGCTGTGGAAATGTGAGGTGCAAGCGTCGTGGAGCTTAGTGACAGGTCTACATAAACATGGGAGTGGGTATTCTAACAACAAAGATGACTGCTAATTAGATCTAATGCTGTTAAAAAGCAGCAGAGTTGTGTATGAACGAAATGTTCACGTCAAGACTAAGGACAGAATGAGAAAGAAAAGCCATTTATGGCTGTTCCAGTGCAGAGAGCCCCGTGGCCCAGGGAAGTCCTCTGCCCGCCCCGCCCACCGCTGCCGTCGGCCCCCACCTGCTGCAGAAGCTGTCTCTGCGGCTGTGCACCTCCCCGTTGACCTCCTGCCCCTGGTCTTGGTGCTCAGCAGCTGCGGCCTGGAGGACATCCTTAATGGAGGGGAACTGGCCCAGGGTATCCGTAGCAACCTCCTGGCCGTTAACCACATAGGAGGCGTCCTGTGTGCCTGCCGTCTTCAACAGAACGCCGTAGGTCCCTCGGGTGGAGACGCTGCTATGTGAAGAACTGTCGCTATCATTTCCATCTGCCTCAGACACGCTGTCTCCAGTCAGGGAGGCGTTCTCCAGACGGTCGTCAGTGTCAGGAGACAAGCTAATCTCAGACACAACAGACGCTGCGCTGCTTCTGTTCTGCTTCAGGGAACCCTTGGTAGAATCGGGAGCCGGCACATTTCCCCCAGAATTCCCAGCATTTGAATCTTCAGTTCTGTAATCAGCCAGAGACCGGATTTTGCTTGATTTGGAATTTTTCTTCTCCTTAGGATGTGCCGGAAGCCCCAGGCTGCCCACCTTAGGCCCCCGAGGGACACTCGTGCGCAGAAAGGAATATTCTTTAGTCAAAGCCACGGTACTGGCCCTCGGTAAGTTTTCTGGGTTTAACATGAGCTCAGGATCAAGCGTGCTAGAAAGTCTCGTTTTGGCTGCAGGTTGGCTGGACTGAGAAGAAAACAAAAGTATAAAACTTACATTTAAAATTCACAAGGAGCATTCTTAAAAGTGCCGTTCAGAAAGGCTGCACCAATTATTATTCTCTCCACTGACAACCAGAGTGCGGGGTCCCCAGGCCCTCGCCATATGGGGTGCGGCCAGGCCTCCGGTCCTTGGTCTCACTGCCGCAAGGCCCCACTCTAGCGACCACATGACCACCCCTGGCCTGAAGCACTCTCTCCAGTGAACGTAACCTGAATATGTACAAGACACATGTCACGGCAAGTACCTCCTCATCAGACTTCCTCAACAAAACTTTCCTGGCTACTCTCCAGTTTATTTCTTTTAGAACACAGAAATTTTCTTCAAGGTCACGCACGGTGGTTCACAAGTGTAATCCCAGCACTTTGGGAGGCTGAGGCAGGCAGATCATTTGAGATCAGGAGTTCAAGGCTGGGCTGGCCAACATGGTGAAACACTTCCTCTACTAAAAACACAAAAAAATGAGCTGGGCATGGTGGTGGGCGCCTGTAGTTCCAGCTACTCAGGAGGCTGAGGCAGGAGAATCACTTGAACCCAGGAGGTGGAGGTTGCAGTGAGCCAAGATTATGCCACTGCACTCCAGCCCGGGTGACAGAGTGAGACCCTATCTCCAAAAATAAAAGTAAAATAAAAAGAAGAAATTTTCTTCAAAAACAAAGAACATTCTGTTAAACCATAACCACGTTAAATCCATAATTTCCTCCGACTGCTCACATCCACTTCAAGCCCCCTCTAGAGCCTGAGCCCCTGTGCTGCCATTCTGACTGACTTCTCCATTTACCCTTTTTGTTATAAACATAGTATTTCCCATTAATCCTATAACTGTTAGAAAAACTCTTGATTTTTCATACTTGTATTTTTATTTTTCTTTCTTTATTTTGAGATGGAGTCTTGCTCTGTCGCCCAGGCTGGAGTGCTGTGGTGCGATCTCGGCTCACTGCAACCTTGCCTCCTGGGTTCAACCAATTCTCCTGTATCAGCCTCCTGAGTAGCTAGGGCTACAGGTGTGTGCCACCATGTCCGGCTAATTTTTTATATTTTTAGTAGAGATGGGCTCTCACCACATTGGCCAGGCTGGTCTCAAACTCCTGACCTCAAGCAATCGGCCCACCGCAGCCTTCCAAAGTGCTGGGATTACAGGTGTGAGTCACTGCACCCAGCCAGATTAAAGTATTTAAAAACATAACCCTAATAGAAAACAAAACAAAACAAAACAAAAACAAAAAAAAAAAGAAAAAAAAAACATAACCCTTTAAATCATAACATGCTGGTGATTTTACTGATCTTCTTCTACTGAAGAGATCCTTCTGAAATATGACACAGGCTGGGTGCAGTGGCTCACGCCTGTATAGTCCCAACTACTCAGGAGGCTGAGGCAGGAGAATCACTTGAACCCAGGAGGTGGAGGTTGCAGTGAACTGAGATCACTCCAGCCTGGGCGACAGAGTGAGACTCTGTCTTTTAAATTTGCCAAGTATGTTGGTGGCACTCGCTTTTAACCCCAGCTACTCAGGAGGCTGAAGCAGGAGTATCACTTAAACCTGGGAGGCAGAGGTTGCAGTGGGCCAAGACCACACCATCACACTCCTGCTTGGGTGACAAAGCAAGATTCTGTCTCAAAATACACATACACACACACACACACACACACACACACACACACATACATATATATATATATATATATATAAAAAACTGCTCATTGACAGTGGACCCGGTCACCCACGAGCCCTGACGGAGAAGTACAAGGAGGTGAATGCTGCTTTCCTCGGACACAACCATTCTGCAGCCCGTGGAGCAAGGAGTAATTTGACTTTCAAGTCTTTATTACTTAAGAAATACCTTTTGTAAGGCTACAACTGCCACAGTCACAGTGATTCCTGTCACGGATCTAGGCAAAGTAAAGTGAAAACCTTCTGGAACGGATTCACCGTTCTAGATGCCATTAAGAACATTCGTGGCCGGGCGCGGTGGCTCACGCCTGTAATCCCAGCACTTTGGGAAGCCGAGGCGGGTGGATCACGAGGTCAAGAGATCGAGACCATCCTGGTCAACATGGTGAAACCCCGTCTCTACTAAAAATACAAAAAATTAGATGGGCATGGTGGCGCGTGCCTGTAATCCCAGCTACTCAGGAGGCTAAGGCAGGAGAATTGCCTGAACCCAGGAGGCGGAGGTTGCGGTGAGCCGAGATCGCGCCATTGCACTCCAGCCTGGGTAACAAGAGCGAAACTCCGTCTCCAAAAAAAAAAAAAAAAAGAACATTCGTGAGTCCTGGGAGGAGGGGTCAAAATACCAACATTAGCAGGAGTGTGGAAGAAGCTGATCTACCCTCACGGACAACTGTGAGGGATTCCAAACACCTGTGGAGAACCTGATTGCAGATGTGGTAGAAACAGCAAGAGAACTAGAATTAGTGGAGCCTGAAGATGGGATATAAAACTTGCGGGTAAAACGCTATCGCATAGCACTGCGTGTTACAGAGAAACCTTTCGTACAAGCGTGAATTGCCATGGCAAACTTCAGTGCTGTTTGAAGAAACTACCACAGCCACCCCAACCTTCAGCAACCACCACCCGCATGAGTAAGCAGCCTTCAAACTTGACGCAAGATCCTCCCACAGCAAAGAGACGACAGCTTGCTGAAGGCTCAGGTGACCGTGAGCACTTTTTATCAATAAAGGGTTTTTATTTTTTTTATTTTTTTATTTTTTATTTTTTTATTTTTTGGGACAGAGTTTTGCTCTTGTTACCCAGGCTGGAGTGCAATGGCATGATCTCGGCTCACCGCAACCTCCGCCTCCTGGGTTCAGGCAATTCTCCTGCCTCAGCCTCCTGAGTAGCTGGGATTACGGGCACGCGCCACCATGCCCAGCTAATTTTTTGTATTTTTAGTAGAGACGGGGTTTCACCGTGTTGACCAGGATGGTCTCGATCTCTTGACCTCGTGATCCACCCGCCTCGGCCTCCCAAAGTGCTGGGATTACAGGCTTGAGCCACCGCGCCCGGCATTTTTTGTATTTTTAGTAGAGACGGGGTTTCACCATATTGACCAGGATGGTCTCGATCTCTTGACCTCGTGATCCACCCGCCTCGGCCTCCCAAAGTGCTGGGATTACAGGCTTGAGCCACCGCGCCCAGCTAGGATTTTTAAATTAAGCTGGGTATACGAGTTTTACTGAAGACACAGTGCTACTGCTACTGCACACTTAGGAAACTACAGGAGAGCATACATATAACTTCTTTATGCACTAGGAAACCAAAAAAACTGTAGCACTTGCTTTATTGCAATATTCGTATTGTTGTGGTGGTCTGGGACTGAACCCACAGTATCTCTGAGGTGACCTGTTTGCTTTCTTTGCTCTTCAATTGGCAGATTTAGAAATAAACTGTGCTTGTCCCAAAAGCAGCAGGAGCAGGCAGGGGGCACAATCCAGTCTCCTGCAGGACTCCCCCAGAGGTGGGACCCCCACGACGGGAGCAGAGTCAACTGCTGCAGAGGCCCTTGAGCCCATCACAGCTCAGAGAACCCAAGGGCAGGCAGGTCCCAGGGTTATGTGGGACCAACAGCTCTCTCTGGCACAGGAAGCTTTCAAGGAGCGTGTTCGGGAGAGGGAGACTCACTCTCTCTTGCTGGCGCTTCACCCTGTACTGCTTGAGCTGTTCTTCCAGCCGCTTCCGAGCCTGAAGTCGGACCTGCTCCTCCTTCTCCAGGGGCAGGGAAGACTCTGTAGAGCCTGCAGTGGGAAAATGGCTATTTGGAAACTCATAAAATACCTGGACACAGAACAATCAGGCACAAGAACTTGGTCATTCTGCTCTTAATTACCCGCATGTTTTACCACTAAATGATGCACAGCCATCTTGTTTGGAAGGACAATTTCCAGATCAAGAGAGAACTGTGAACCCTGGACTCGGAGCATAGGCAGAATATACCTCACAGGAGACATACCGGCCAGGTGCTGGGCCTGTCTCTCCATGACGGGCACACCACACTGCTAAAACAGGAAACCTCAGCAAGTGCCATTTTGTTTTTCTGAGACGGGGTTTTGCTTTTCTCACCCAGGCTGGAGTGCAACAGCGCAATCTTCGCTCACCACAACCTCCACCTCTGGGTTCAAGCTCTTCTCCTGCCTCAGCCTCCCGAGTAGCTGAGACTACAGGCATACGCCACCACGCCCAGCTAATTTTGTATTTTCAGCAGAGACAGGGTTTCTCCATGTTGGTCAGGCTGGTCTCGAACTCCCAACCTCAGGTGATCTACCCACCTCAGCCTCCCAAAGTGCTGGGATTACAGGTGTGAGCCACTGCACCCAGCAGCAAGTGCCTTTTAACAACAGAAAAAACTGGGTTCAAAGCTGGAGCCATGCTGAGTACTCTGAGGCAGGCTCAGCTCTCACCATGCTGCAACTCTGTGCTGGCTTCACAGCAGGTTCTCCTGACCTTGCTGTGGGGAGCATGTGAAAAGCCGACACTGCGGAGTTATAGGCACCGCGGAGTTACAGGCATGTGAAAAACCGACACTGCAGAGTTATAGGCACCGCGGAGTTACAGGCAGTGCTGAGCAACAGGAGCTCAGCCGTCACAGGGTCATGAGACCCGAAGTGCGTTTTCTTTATGCAGTTCTATCTGGGGGTCCACTCTGATCCATGGCTCATCTCAGTTCCTGCGGTAACAAGTCACGTTATGACAAGGCTTCGTATAATCACGAGTACCTGTATAAGCTAGAGGCACTCAAATGGCTGAAACCTAGCAGAGTAAAGACTGCACAGGCATCTACCCTCCAGGGCTGGGAACTGGTCACCTCCGTTTCCAGAGAGACCAGACTCCAATCCGAGGTCATGCTCCAGGACAGGAGGAGGAAAGCACAACTTTTTCACCAAAACCAGAATTTAAAATATCTAAAAGCCAGACCTTTCATTTCGGGTGATGAGACGGTTGGACGGTGCGTGCCAATTCAGCCCTTGCATCACCCAAATGAAAGGTCTGGGTTACAGTTACAGTTGCAGACCGAGGGCACCACTGCCCAGGGCAGTGTGTGTGGCCTCGTCCTTCCTAACCCATCAGCTGACGCGGCCAGATGGCTGGGTGCCAACCAGAGCAAGGAGGTGTGCTCACACAGCAACACTTCACACATGGCGCCTTCCTTACACGTGGCTGCTGTGGAGATGCGCAGCTACTGTCCTCAATCGTCCCTAAAATCTGAGCAGTCACCAAGAATTCACTGTCAATGTACCATTGTCATTATTAGTTTGTACATTTTATCACTGAAAAGATCTCTAGTCCTTTTCACAAGGCAAAGTGGTCCAGATGGCTAAACCCTACCTGGCAAATTCAGGCCTACGGCCATCAGGCAGATACATAAGTTGTCAAAATGAGCAGTGTTTCAATTGAACACCAACGCAGGAGACAGGCTCAGGGCCCGGTGCCAGCAGGAACAGGTGAGGGGCGTCCCACAAAGGCGTGCACGCAGACCCAGCACTGCTGCCACACAGGCCAGAGCTCACACATCTGTAACTTTGGGAACCCAAAAGTACACAAATGAACTAAGCTGAGAAAAATCAGGACGCTAGGCTTTTTTACACACTACTTCTCAGCTTAAATGCTGGCAGCGCATTTTCGGAATTTTTTTAAATAAACACATGTGAAATGCAATTTGATTTCAGTAATTTTGGGGAGGGGTTGTTTTTATTTAGCTTTAAGAAATTTTTAAAAACACACTGCAGGCCAGGCGGGGTGGCTCATGCTTATAATCCCAGCACTTTGGGAGGCCGAGGTATAAAGATCACTTGAGCCCAGGAGTTCTAGACCAGCCTGGGCAACATGGCAAGACTACGTTTCTACAAAACAAATTAAAATTAGCCAGGTGTCGTGGCAGGCACCTGTGGTCCCAGCTACCTAAAGGCAGAGGCAGGAAGATCCCCTGAGCCTGGGAGGCAGAGGCTGCAGTGAGCTCTGATTGTGCCACTGGACTCCAGCCTGGGTGACAGCAACGTCCCGACTCTAAGAAAAAACAAAAGCAGATGGATGCCCACAGTCTGCTTACCAAGCACCTGGGTGACACAGGACATGCAGGCTGGCCTTTAACACAAGAGCGTCAGCACTGCTGCCAGTTAGACCGTAGCGCAGCCCGGCTCCAGGCTGGCCTTTAACACGAGCATGTCAGCACCACTGCCAGTCAGACCGTAGCACAGCCCGGCTCCAGCTGCATCTTCACTCTCTTGAGTGAAGCTCTCCTTGCTAAACACACCGCCCTGCCTGGGACAAGGTGGGCACACGGCAGGCACAGGGACACAGCCGCTCAGACAGCGAGTGTGGGGCACCTGCTCCTGAGGTGCTGAGCGACGCGAATGTGGAGGTGGAAACGGCGGGAAGGGATGCTTACACAGTTGCGTTTCTTGCATAGGAAGACTGAGTCTGAGAGACTGCAAAGCTTCTTTTCTAACACTGCCCTCAGCACTAGTTCCCTGAGACTTCCTTAGGTTGTCATGGAAACCAGCCACACCTGGAGAGGCATCAGGGCTCACTGGGCTTGTGACGGGACCCAGAGACAATGGAGGGTCTGGGAACTGTGGTATTGGCCCGTTCTGACAGAGGCCTCCCTGGCCAGCTCCATCCAGGCTTTCTCCTTCCGTGGAAGCTCTGTTTACCTCGGCACCTAGAAAGACAAGAGTACACTGAACCATCACGGCTTTAACAATATGACAACATCATTTTTCAGACATGCACCTGGAGTAGGAGAGAAGAGGATTCTGACTCATGAGCACCACACTTTCTCACCCCACAAAGGCATTCACTCTGAGCGCAGGCCATGGGCCCCTTCCCACAGGCAGGGTGGCCAGGAAAAGGCCCACAGCCCCTCTGGTGTCAACGTCCTCCCTATAAGGTGAACTCACCCTCCATGCCATTACACTCTGGCTGTAGAATTTACGTAGTAACGATAGTAACATTTCCTTTTTTTTTTTTTTTTTTTTTTCAGACACCCGCCTTGGCCTCCCAAAAGTGCTGGGATTACAGACGTGAGCCACGGTGCCCAGCCTCTTTTGAGATGGAGTCTCGCTCTGTTGCCCAGGCTGGAGTGCAGTTGCACAATCTCAGCTCACTGCAACCTCCACCCACCAATTCAAGCAACTCTCCTACCTCAGCCTCCCAAGTAGCTGGGATTACGGGCACCCACCACCACGCCTCGGCAGGGAGGCAAGCAGAGGTCACGCCCTGCACTCCAGCTTGTGTGAAAGAGCAAGACAAGACCCAGTCCCAAAAAAAGAAGTTAATTTGGTTAATACTACTTTGCAATGAATTTATAGGTCCAGGAAAGTTTCTAAACCTGGCAGTTTATATAACAAAATAGTTTTCTGAGCATCACGCTGCACTTAAAAAAAAAATCTAGAAGTAAAAAGGTCCAACAAACAGTGAGATTACACTGTTCCAAACACAAGCCTAATGATGGATAAATCACGATGATGATGACGACCAAAGTAGCCACCAGCACCCGGACGTGCACCGAGCACGTGCGCTTCATGTGCGCCATTTCTTTAAACCCTCACCACCACCCTATGATGCAGGGCAACGTAATCTGTTTTATTAAAAAAAGGGGGCCAGGTGCAGTGGCTCACACCTGTAATCCAGCATTTTGGGGGGCTAAGGTGGGCGGATCACTTGAGGCCAGGAGTTCAAGGCCAGCCTGGCCAATGGCGAAACCCTATCTCTACTAAAAATACAAAAATTGGCTGGGCGTGGTGGCGGGCGCCTGTAATCCCAGCACTTTGGGAGGCCAAGGTGGGCAGATCACGGGGTAAAGAGATTGAGACCATCCTGGCCAACATGATGAAACCCCGTCTCTACTAAAAATTCAAAAATTAGCTGGGCGTGGTGGCACACGCCTGTGGTCCTAGCAACTAGGGAGGCTGAGGCAGGAGAGTCACTTGAACCCGGGAGGCAGAGGTTGCAGTGAGCCGAGATCCTGTCACTACACTCCAGCCTGGGCAAAAGAGCAGGACACCATCTCAAAAAGAAAAAAAAAAGGTAGAATTCCAGGCAGGAACATGACAAAGACCCACATATGCCTTCAGGGAAACGCTGCTGCCCCACAGGTATTTAACGGAGTATGTTTGGTAGGAATAGTGCCTGATCTAAAGGCAGCATCATCCAGAGACTAAAACACACTTTGAATCACGTGAAAAGCTAATGAGTGTCTCCTCCTGTGACCAGCACACAGAGGAACCTGACAACTTACGCTGGGCTTTGTCTTGCTGGTCAGGTGGCACTAGTGGGCCCGGGGACTTCTGGTGAGCCTCGGGGAGACCTGAGGAGCCACTGTGGGATCTGTCCTCCTGGAGGCCATCTTGCTCGGCCGACGCGCCATCCATGGTCAGGACAACACCGGCTAAGCAGACACTGCAGGGCTGCAAGGGAACCTGAGGCAAGCTTGGTTTCTGCCATCAGCACCAGCCAAGAGCTCCTGGGAGGGGCCCCACTGTGCCTCCCATTTTCAGAAGATCTACTGACTCACAAATGGCTTGAGGTCAAACCAGCTAATATCATGACACCTGACAGGAGAGAAAGAGAAAAAACGTATTATAAAACTTTACTCATCAGATTTCAAGTATCAATTACAAAATTACATTTGGTTCCCAATTTGAGTAAGTACAAGAAATAAATACAGACATTTTCATTCAGCAAAATAATCCGTGAGCACCCACAACATCCTAGGTTTTGGGGATAAAATGCTGACCCTGCCTCTCTGCCAGGACAGTGCAGCTCTGTATCTATGCTGTAGCTGTCACACAAGGCAACCAAGGAACTGAGTTTTAAATTTTATTTAAACTTAATTAATTTGGGCCGGGCACAGTGCCTCACCCCTGTAATCCCAGTACTTTGGAAGGCCGAGGCAGGCAGACCACCTGAGGTCAGGAGTTCAAGACCACCCTGGCCAACATGGCAAAACCCAGTCTCTACTAAAAATACAAAAAACAACTGGGTGGCCGGGCGTGGTGGCTCACGTCTGTAATCCAAGCACTTTGGAGGCCAAGGCGGGCGGATCACCTGATGTTGGGAGTTCAAGACCAGCCTGACCAACATGGTGAACCCCGTCTTTAAAAAAAAAAAAAAACAAAAAAACTGGGCATGGTAGCAGACACCTGTGGTCCCAGCTAGTTGGGAGGCTGAGGCAGGACAGTTGCTTGAACCTGGGAGGCAGAGGTGGTAGTGTGCCAAGATCATGCCACGGTACTCCAGCCTGGGTAACAGATGGAGACTCCATCTCAACAAAATTTTTTTAATTCAAAACTTAAGACCAGGTACGGTCGCTCATGCCTGTAATCTCAGCGCTTTGGGAGGCTGAGGCGGGCGGATCATGAAGTCAGGAGATTAAAACCAGCTTGGCTAACGTGGTGAAACCCCATCTCTACTAAAAATACAAAAATTATCTGGGTGTAGTAGCACATGCCTGTAGTCCCAGCTACACTCGGGAGGCTGAGGCAGGAGAATTGCTTGAACCCAGGAGGGGGAGGTTGCAGTGAGCCGAGAATGCACCATCACAGTTCAGCCTGGGGAATAAGAGTGGAAACTCCACCTCAAAAAAAAAAAAAAAAAAAGAAAAGGGAGGGGTCAGGAACAGTGGTTCACACCTGTAATCCCAGCACTTTGGGAGGCCAAGGCAGGCAGATCACTTGAGGTCAGAAGTTCGAGACCAGCCTGACCAACATATTGAAACCCTGTTTCAACTAAAAAGAAAAAACTTAGCCAGGCATGGTGGCCCATGCCTGTAATCCCAACTCAGGAGGTTGAGGCAGGAGAATTGCTTGAACCCAGGAGGCAGAGGTTGCGGTAGGCCGAGACTGCACCATTGCACTCCAGCCTAGGCAACAAGAATGAATGCCCGTCTCAAAAAAAAAAAAAAAAAAAAGCTACTCCTGTGTGCAATGAATTCTCAATCTCATTTTTGTGTCTTCAATCATTAGTAACATCTTTCATACCTGGATTTTCCGGGTGGGTGGGTGATTAGTGGGCCTTGGAGCCGGGGCAGGGATGTGAGCTACACACCTGTCCTTACACACAGCACAGAACTCTCTGAAAGCCACTTCCCAGGAAAACCACTTCGATGCCCACGAAGCCTGCCCCTCAGCTACAATCCCAGACACACCCCGGGAGAGCTGGGGGTCAGTCAGCCGCACCCACTCGGGAATGATGGAGAAGACACCCACAAAGCAGCGAAATGACGGCCACAGCGGCCCCTCAGCACAGCCTTGCCATTACATGCCAGCACAAAGGGCTAAACACGGTGGAACGTGGACTCTACTGCACCACTGGTCCTCCTGAAAATTTCCTAGCAAAAGAAAACTTGGACTTTGCTTTGTTATGTCTTTGCTTCTGCCATGTGGGGGTGGGGTGATGATATGGAAACCACCGTGTGTGCCCACGTGTGCAGTCTCTCCTGGCCGCTCAGGTAAGAAGTACCTCTTCCATCTCCCCCGTCATCCCTACACCTCATGTGGCCTCCAGCACAGCACGTCACGTCTGCCACTGCGTGTGCCCATTACATGGCGAGATCCTTGAAGGCAGAGACTTGTTCCACATCTGCCTCCTACCAGCTTGAACACTTCCAACTCCCAGAGTGCCAATGTGGGTTTAATATGCCCAATTAAATCTTCACTTCTGCTGAGTACATTCCTCGGCTACAAAGCTAATGATTCCAAAACTAAGTGACAAAGCATTTGACTCCTTGAGCATCAACACTGCCTTTTAAAGTACAGTAAATTCTTAACTATTCCAGCTGAAAACATCTGAGAGCTTCAGCTCCAATGAGGGAGTCCAGGGAGTTAGAAACAGGAAGAGCAGCATCACAGCCACAGCCCAGACAGGTACCACCACCTGAACAGAAGGAAGGATGGGACGACCAGCAGGCCCAGACTCAGCCATTACAGATAGAACATGCAGAGGACTGCTGCGGATCCCACCGGGACAATGCCTCTGCCTCACACTGACCAGGAAAGAGAAGCATCAGCCAAGGACGTTCAGGTTCCACTGAGAAGACATGCCAACATGGTGACAGCCAACCACACCAAGCTCTCTGAGCCCAGTGTAATCACAGATTCTGCTCACTTAACTCCCCTTCTGATGGCCGAGCAGTCCTACCCTCCAGAATGGAGACCCTGTAACTGTGACTGTAAGGCTCCTGTCTATACGCAGCTCCTCCTGAAGCCGAACCAGAGACAGAGTTCACTGGCTGCCTGAAGTGGAGTTTGGTGACAGCGCTACTTCTCCCTGTGGGGCCACAAGCTGGCAATCTTGGTCTATCCTCAGTCTTGGCTGATTTTTAGTTAAAATTTAGAATGACTCAGTCGTTCAGGATGTCATTACCACAGACTTCTGACAAAAGCCGATCTCCAGGCAGCAAGGAGGAGGACCAGGGAGTTGCTGGTGCATCACAGAAAGCTGTTATTAGGAACATGACTCCATTTTGTGATTTTACTTTTTAAATAAAGACATCAGTCTAATCAGAGTCTCACTTTTGATCACTTGCACATCTATGTCTCTAGAGAGAAGAGACAGGACAAAGCTATCATTTAGAGCTTCGAAAGGTACACACAACCCTAGGTTCACATCTGGCTAACATCAAGGGGCTTCACACTGAGAAACCACCACTCCAGGCACCACAGGACTTTCTGCTTCCCCACACCTGAATTCTGTCTATGAACATTCACGGCTCCATCTACTATGAGTTTCCATTGTTCCTATCTGCAATTTAACAACAGAGTATAGCCAAAGATAAAGCAGGACTTCCTCTGGAAGATAATACCTGGTTGAGGCCACACTAGTATCCAAAAGTAAACAGAGATCTATACACCAAATGAAAACCAAAAGAAAGCCTCGTGTCACCTTAGAGATGTGAAGGGCAGCTTGGAAGTTGGGACTCTGGCCTCAGCTCCTGACTCTCCACCACTGAGCTGTGAGATCTTGGACTAAAGATTTCCTCACCACTTTTAGCCTGTTTCCTCGCCAGTAAAACAATGAGAAAATAGAGACAAAATTCTGTCAGGATTAAATACAACAAGGCACAGGGTCTGTCCTGTGTCCTCAATAAAACGGCAGCAATTATCATTATTATTTTCCTTTAAGTTGCTGCTTGTCAAAATTGCTAGGTAAAAGTCAACTGAAGGCACTCTCACTCGAGAAAGTACACTACTACTTCTTAAGGCAATTGGCAAAAAAAATAAAATAAAAAAGCTCCTCTTGAATCTGAGTAATGCCGGATGATTTATTTCCTTCTTGCCATTTCAGGTATACTGCCCGGAAGGCTATTAGAGGGTTGTAAGAGGAAAGCTATTTATTAGAGGCCATGTTCATGTCGTTTAAAAGACAATTCAAAAAATAATACATGACGACGGGTGTGGCTGCTCACACCTGTAATCCCAGCGCTTTGGGAGGCTGGGGCAGGACGACTGCTTGAGGCCAGGAGTTCCACACCAGCGTGGGCAACACAGCAACACCCAGTCTCTTAAAAAAAGAGAAAGAAAGAAATCCATGAGTCACCTGTAAATGGCTTACACTGTCCCAGTGACAATAAAGTCCGACCGCTCAGCAATCCAGCACCTGCCTACACCGACATCCTTCTCTCCGTTGCTTACCTCCTTTTCCATTACACTCTAGTCACAGACTCTGCCTGAAAACGCCAAACTTCCACCTCCCTCAGGGGCTCCAAACTTTCTGTTCATCTGCCTGAAACGCTCCGTCCTCACAATTTTGCCTGGCTCGCTCCTCGTCATAGAAGCCTCAGCACAGAAGTCCCCCGCCCCACAGGCCTTCCCCGGCTTAAAGGAGCGGACCCCACCCAACCCCCGCCAGCGCCCTCTCGCTGGCGACCTGCGTGCCCCGTGCTGGGTGAGCTCGGCGAGGGCAGGGACCCGGGCACGGCTGCGCCCTTCGTAGCCCAGGCTCGCTATGACAGGGACCCGCCACACGACTGACATTCCCCGGGTTCACACCCGGGACAACGCCCGGCCCCACTCGCTCCAGGCACCTGGAATCAAGACAAGCCTGCCAGGGACAAAGGCAAACAAGGAAGGCACGGGCTCCCGAAACCCCGGCTGCCCACGAACCGCGCGACACCGTGTCACGCCTGTCAGCTGCAAAGGGCCGAACTAAAGACACAGGCGCCGCTCGAGGGTGGCAGCGGACAGCTTCGGGACAGGCCGCGCTCGCCGGGCGCCGACGGCCCTCCGGAGGGCCCACGGGCACGCGTGTTTGCAGAGCCGGCCCCGCCGCAGCCGAGGGCGGGCGCCCAGGCCCGAGGCCACCGCAGGGAGGTGACTGGAAAGGGGCCGTCCCGCGTCGCCGCAGGGGCGCGCCCAGCCCCGCAGCCCCCGCCCGGCCTCCGCAGCCGCCCCTCGGGCCTCCCGGCCCATGCCCGGCGGAGGCCTGAGCCCCGAGGCGCGCAGCCCCCGCGACCCTCACCCTGCCGCTGCGGCAGCCCCGGAGGCCGCCCGGATACTCAGACGTGGCCGAGCGGGGGGCGGGGCGAGCGGTGTAGCGGCCTCGGGTTCCGCGGAAAAAGCCTGCATGCGCTGCTTTCGTTCCGGAACCGAGAATGTTCGCCTCCTCTGCCAGCGGCCACCCAATGGCCGGGGACACTCTGGCCGCAGGGTCCGGATCGAGCTACCTCAGACTGGCCTGAGGCAGGTTTCAGAAAGTGACTTTAAGAGTTTGTGGACCTTTCCCTGGAAACGCAACTTCCGGATTTCAGGACCAAACCCTTCAGGAAGCTGAACTGAGCTTCCGGCGGAAGTGGCGTGGCGGGCTCGGCGTGGGTGCGGCCGGGCTCGGCGTGGGCGTGGCCTCTCCGCCCGCCCTTGTCTGGAGCGGTGCGCGGAAGGCGGCGTGTCCCCGCCCCAACCTCGCGCCTCCACCTGTCCGACTCCCTTCGCGCTTCAGGTGCCAGTTCAAAGGCGACGCTGCTTTGGCGCCTGTCTGCTTCCACTTTAAAAAGCAAGCTGGACGGCATGGGGTGCAAGGAGCGGGGTCGGGCGGGGCCGGCCGCTGGGGAACGGCTTTCCACCTTCCCTCCTCCGCCAGGCCGCTCTTCCAGCTGTCAGGAAGGTGGCGGCCTGGAGGGCGCCTCAGGTCCTCTGTGATGTTGCGCTCGTCTCTGCGGATTTCAGAATAAGCTTGTCTACGAATCTTTCTGGGATTTTGATGGGAACTGCATGAAACCTGCAGATCGTTTGGGAACACGGCATCGCTGACTGGGTCCGTCATCTGCGTCCGTAGTGGCCCCTCCATTTATTTAGGTCTTTGGATTTCTTCCACCAGTATTTTGTAATTTCAGCATACGGAATCTGCACCTTTTAAGTTTATAGTATTTCATGTTGAGCGACTATGACATTGGGTCTTTGACGTTGTTTTCCATGTGTTCATTGTTGGTCTACACAAATGTGATGAATTCTATGTTGATATATCCTGAGACCTCGCTAAACTCATTAGTTTGAGGGTTTTTTTGTTGTTGAAAAATCCTTGTATTTTCTACATGGCCCATCATGTTATCTGCAAATTCAAATTCTAACTCAAAATGATCACATAATGAAGTGTAAAATGTATAAATAAAACTACTAAACTTTTAAAAGAAAACAATTTCTGACATCTAGAGCTTGGAAAGAGTTGTTAGATCTGACCAAAAAAGCACAATGCACAAAAGAAATTGATAGGATAAACTTCATGAAAATTAGAAACTTTTCACTGGATGTGGTGGCTCACACCTGTAATCCCAACACTTTGGGAAGCCGAGGTGGGCAAATCAACTGAGATGAGGAGTTCGAGACCAGCCTGGCCAACATAGTGAAATCGGTCTCTACTAAAAATACAATAATTAGCCAGGCATGGTGGTGCACGCCTGTAATCCCAGCTACTCAGGAGGCTGAAGGAGAATGGTTTGAATCCAGAAGGCGGACGTTGCAGTGAGCCGAGATACTGCCACTGCACTCCAGCCTGGGCAACAGAGTGAGACTCTGTCTCAAAACAAACAAAACTTCTGAGAAAGACCACATTGAAAGGATGAAAAGATAAGTTACAGACTGTGAGAAAATATTTTCAAACCACGTTTGTCGAAGAACTAGTAGCTTAGAATATATAAAGAACTCTCAAAACTTGACGTAAAAAAAAAAATACAGTTAGGCCGGGAACAGTGGCTCACGCCTGTAATCTTAGCCCTTTGGGAGGCCGAGGGGGCAAATCACTTGAGGCCAGGAGTTCGAGACAGCCTGGCCAACATACAGAAGCCCTGTCTCTACTAAAAATACAAAAACTGGGGCCGAGTGCGGTGGCTCACGCCTCTAATCCCAGCACTTTGGGATGCTGGGGCAGACAGATCATGAGGACAAGAGATCAAGACCATCCTGACCAACATGGTGAAATCCTGTCTCTACGAAAAATACTAAAATTAGTTGGGTGTGGTGGCGCATGCCTGTAGTCCCAGCTACTCGGGAAGCTGAGGCAGGAGAATCACTTGAACCCAGGAGATGCAGGTTGCAGTGAGCTGAGATCATGCCACTGCACCCCAGTCTGGCAACAGAGTGAAACTGTCTCAAAAAAAAAAAAATACAAAAAATTATGCTGGGTGCAGTGGCTCACGCCTGTAATCCCAGCCCTTTGGGAGGCCAAGGTAAGCAGATCATGAGGTCAGGAGATCAAGACCATCCCGGCTAACACGGTGAAACCCTGTCTCTACTAAAAATACAAAAAATTAGCCGGGCATGGTGGTGTGTGCCTGTAGTCCCAGCTACTCGGGAGGCTGAGGCAAGAGAATTGCTTAAACCTTACAGGTGGAGATTGCAGTGAGCCGAGATCATGCCACTCCAGCCTGGGTGAGAGTGACAATCTGTCTCCCCAAAAAAAAAAAAAATTAGCTAGGCCTGGTGGCGCACGCCTGTAGCCCCAGCTACTTGGGTGGCTGAGGCACAAGAATTGCTTGAACCTGGGAGGCAGAGGTTGCAATGAGCTGAGATTGTGTCACTGCACTCCATCCAGCCTGGGTGATAGAATGAGATGCCATCTCAAAAAAACAAAAAACAAACAGAAAAGACAAGCAAAGGAAATGAAAAGGATATATGAACGGCAAGCATCACAAGTCATTACAGAAATGCACATTAAGACTTGAGGCCAGGTGCGGTGGCTCACACCCGTAATCCCAGCACTTTGGGAGGCCAAGGAGAGTGGATCATCTGAGGTCAGGAATTCGAGACCAGCCTGACCAACATGGTGAAATCCCATCTCTACTAAAAATGCAAAAA